AGTGCCCCAAGTCTCTTTTATTCCAGTCACATCATAGTTCTGTGACTGTGTGAGGACTTCCAATTCTTTCTGCTTGTTTCCAAGGCTCTGTGTATTCATGTACAGACACCTGAAATAACTAGCTGATTGCCCTATTTTCTCAGAAAGAATGAGAACCTCCCCCATTTCCCCATCCTGCTTGCAAGTGAAGGAAGGTGAGAGAGAGTTTCCAGGCAAACTCCCAAGAGAACTTCCCCTCTCTCTGGACTCTAGTTAAAGGCCTTATGTATTGGTCTAACTGCTGAGTTTTGGCTACTTATGCTAAATATATCTAGGTTAGTTGTTCTTAATTAAAGAGCTTACCTTAAAGGCTCCCCTTCCAAGAAGGGGACAGCAAACTGGCTTGTGAACTGTTTGCTCCCCTTGTTTGCTTTCCCCCTGGCATCTCCTTTTATACCCTCCTGGGCCTGGACTGGCTCTCCCCCTTGTTATGGCTTATGTCAGACACAGGCGGCAGTCACCCTACAGTCACCCTGCTAGCAGCACATCTAGCTGTTCAGAGCACATGCCCAGCACACAGCTCACCAAACAGATGCTCAGCAAGCCAAACACAGGCAGCCGGGCCTCACTTACCTTTCTTAAAGCAGGATCTGGTGCCTGGTGTTTGGTTTCTCTTCCTCTTCCCCTTCCTCCCCTTGCTCCCAGTGAACTGCTTGCAAACTGCAGCTTATAATATAGGTGCTGTTCTCTGGAACCAGTAATGGTTAATAATTAAAAAAAAAAAAAAGGCTAAAGCTGAGATCTTCACAGAAATCACCTGCCTCCAGGATCTGGGGCTTGAAGAAACATCAGATACCGTAAAATTTTAGATGAAATCATCATGGAAGACATTGTTTTTACACTTCTGTTGGTAAACTTGGCAGTTTTTGGAAAGAAAGGTCCCTGTGGCGTATACTCTATACATGTCTCTCCAGCTGGCAAATTAGTCATACTTTACTTTGGCTCGTAATACTGAAAGCTGGAGAATGTAAATACTATATTATTATTAAAATTCATTGATTCCCAGGTGAAAGTGGCACATAGCGAAAAAACATTTGAAAAGTGAAGCTGACATAAATACTAGTACACTCAGTTATTAATATCTAGAACCAGTCTAAGCATGTATGCTACCCACTTAAACTTTTCATCTACAGCAAATACAACAGTCCTTGTTTGTTTCTGTTTCAGACCATAAGCAAATGGCCACATCCTTTTGAAAGGCAGAGCTACTCAACAGGTAGTTTGCCTCAGTCTTCACACACAAAAATTAAGCTGCAGCCAAACACCTAATAAAGATTATTTGGATAAAGAAAGAAACAAGCTGAGGAATGAAATAAGAAAAGAGACTGTTAAGAGAGCTTTTGATGCATCTGAATGAATTCAAGTCAGCTGGGCCTGTTGAACTTCATCTCAGGGGTTGATGGAACTGGCAGAGGAGAATTTGTGTCCTTTGGCAATGATATTAATGAAGTTATGGGAGACAGGCAAGGTACCATAGGACTGGAAGAGTGCCAGCATAGTGACCTTCTTAAAAATGCAAAAAGTAAGACCCAGGAAACTACAGGCCTTACCTTAATGCCCAGGAAGTTACTGGAGCATAGCCTAAGGAAGTCTGTTTGCAAACATCTGGAGGAGGAAAGGTTAATCCCAAGCAGCCAGCATGGATTTACTAAGAGCAAATTGTCTCTCAAACTTGATCGCCTTTTTTGGCACAGTAACCTGGGTAGATGAAGGAAATGCTGTGGATGTAGTGTCTCTGGACTTCAGCAGTGCTTTTGACAAAATCCCACGTGACCTTCTCATAAATAAATTGAGAAATGTGAGCTGGACAAAACTGCTGTAGGGTGGTTAGACAACTGGCTCAATAGCCACAAGCAAAAGGTAATTGCAAATGGATCCATGTCAGCGGAGGTTTCAAATAGTCCCATGGGGGTCTACCCTGGTCCTGGTGCTGTTCAATGCATTTAATAATGATTTGGATGCTAGCATAGAAAACTTCTTGAGCAAGTTTGCAGACAGCACAAAACTGGGAAGGATTGTGAACATGGTGAAGAATGCAAGCACAATTCAGAAGGATTTGGACAGATTGGAAAGCTGGGCTGGAGCTAACAGGATGAAGTTCAATACTGACAAACACAAGGTGCCACAAATGCTACAAGAATTGTAGCCACAAATGCTACAAGAATGCTTGGAAAGAATAATAAAACATGAAAATACAAAATGGGTGACACCTGGCTGGATGGCAGCATGATGGAAAAGGATCTAGGAGTCTTGATGAATCACAGACTCAGTGTGAGTCTGCAGTGTGATGCAGCTGCACAAAAGGCAAATGCTATTTTGGGATGCATCAATAAAAGCATTAGAGGTGATAATGCCTGTTTACTCAGCATTGGTTAGGCCTCATCGAGACTATTGCATGCTATTTTAGGCTCCACATTTTAAATGTGGAGAAGCTGGAGAGGACCTAGAGGCAAGCAACAAAGATGGCCAAGGCCTTGCAAAGCAAGTCATACAAGGAGACGCTGAAGGAGCTATGCATGTTCAATTGTGGAAAAGGCACTTCAGAGAGGACATGATAGTAGTCTTCCAATATCTGAAGGGCTGCTATAAAGAAGAGAGAAAACATGTTTTCTCTCATTTCAGATTAGGATGGGGACCAGTGGCTTGAAGTTGCAATGAAGTAGGTTTAGACTGGATATCAGGAAAAAAATCTTCACTATTAGGAAAGTAAGGCAGTGGAATAGGCTGAGTAGGGAAGCTGTGGACTCCTCATCACTGGAGGTGTTCAGAAAGACATTTGACAGTCACTGGCTCAGAATGATATAGGTATAGCTATGCCTATGTTCTGCTGTATTACCCATGCATCTGGATTTTGCTGGTTGCTGCATGGGCTGGAAGGACTCTGAAACTTATGTGCGTAGACTATGCAGCTCACCCTTTCCAGAAGGGTAGGATAAAAATGTGATGCATGTCTGTCCTGTTTAATTTGCAGATCTTGATTTAGCTTCTGTATTTTTTTTAATGTTTGGGTTCTTTATCTTAGTATTTTTACTGTCCTGAGTAAAAAAATAAGTGCATTACACAGGCTCTGGGACCAACATGTTATGAAAATCTGGGTAAAAAATCACCTCTTCTTGTATTTGAATTCAGAACGTACACTGTCTGTATTATAAAAACTTTTTTTTTCTCTTCTTGTTTAGTTTTTGTTCAGTTATATACTAAAAATAATTTGTTCTGCAAATTTGAACATTATTGTTTGAACATTAAAAATGGCAATGCTTTCTATTCACGCATTTAGAATGTATATGGTTAAAATGTCTTTTGGTTATAGTATGTTTAATATTTCTATATCAAGAATAAGTATAATATTTAAGAAAATATTTTGAACGGAGTTGTCCTCCCCCCCCATCCCCCAGTAGAATGATATGGTATATTATCTTATGACATTTTAAATTTAAAACGTAACACCTAACTTGGGTGTTAGGGACATTAATTTTAATGTGGATTAATTATCCTACAAAATCATGAGAGACAAGGGAGCTGTAGTTTTTACCACAGAATAAACTCAGCAAGGTAGGTCACAAATAGGAGTATAATGTCAACCCCAAAAACATATGTGTGTGCATTAGAATAATAGCCATAGACTAGCTTAAGTGAAAGTAACCACAGGGCAAACACTTAAGAACAGAGGAATGCAACCTCCAGCCTGCAGAGCCATCACATCTGGCCCATGGGGCTCTCCACAGGTCAGGAAACTTGGTGGTAGGGGCCGGTGGCAATTAATATTGCCATCCTCCCCCCTGCCAAATTTCCAAACCTCCCAGCCCCTGCAGCTGGATCGGGGCTGGACCATGCCCCCTCCTCCCCATGGCTTGATCAGGCTAGACCATGCTGCCACCTGACCCTCAGGACTGCATCAAGCCCCCTTTCTCTGTGGCCTGGGTCGAGGCCAGGCTGTTCCCTCCAGCCCCTTCCACACAATTGGATGGGGCCTGGGTGCTGGATCAGAACCACTGGCCAAATCCAGCCCACAGACCTGCCAGGCACTACCCATCTTACTTGCTGAGCAAAAGGTTTGAGCACCACTTAAGAAAGATTGGATGCATAGCACAGAATGAGCATGTTGAGTAGCTCTTGAATTCAGCCAATTTGAGCTATAGTTTCTGTTTCTAATGTTAGCCAACTTGAGTTACCACTACAGTCTAATTAAGGGGCTGGGACAGTAGTGTAACTAAAAGGGGTGAGGGGGTGCTCAAAAATAGCTCCTGCTGCCATTGGACTACAGCAGCTGGCATTGCCCAGTGCACTGTGGCAGTCTAGGGCACAAAGCTGCCCTGCTATACCTCTTAGATGGGATTTAAGTTGGAGATATGGCTAAAGTTATAACTTAATTCTGAAGTGAAGACAAACCCTTGGACTCATGGTTGAGACAGTGGAAAGGAACCGTGTCTTGCTCCTGTAGATGTTGTTCTTTGAATGAAAAAAAGGTGTTTGCTTTCCAGAGTTATCATCAATTGGATGCAGTCATTTGTGCTAGTATTAAGTACTTTTAAATTTTCTTTAGATTCACTGCAGGACTGTGTTTACCTGAGTTTATTTTTATGAATTTTTTAGATGAATTTGGTTCTGTCAGTTGAAAGGCTTCAGGTACTCAGATGCAGCTCAGGTGTTCATTAGGTCTTTCCTGTGTTGAAAAATAAGACACGATATCAATTCCATACTAGCTCTGTGTTTCTTGTCTTATTGCACATTGCTGTCATAGTTTTGATGGCTAGCATAGAGCTATGCCTTTTTACTCTTTAGCTTAATCCACTTTCAATAAGTAGAGTATATTGTGCAGTTTAAATTTACATCTTAGCTTAGTTTCACAACAGGTTCCCCATATAGACAAGCCCTTCATATTAATTTGCCAGCAGGACAACTCATCTCCCTTTCTGTTTCTGTAAACTAATCTGCCTTTTTTTTGTTTTCTAATTCACCAGAATTTAGCCTCGTGGAATCCTTCAAACCCTGAGTGCCTCCTGCTTGTTGTGAAAGAGCTTGTGCAGCAGTATCACCAGTTCCAATGTGGCCGATTGCGTGAGAGCTCTCGCCTCATGTTTGAATATCAGACTTTACTTGAAGAACCGCAGTATGGAGAAAACATGGAAATCTATGCTGGCAAAAAAAACAACTGGGTAAGCTATTAACAATACTTCTGATGAAAGCAATATAAAATATTGCTGGAGGGATTCTTTTGCCATAGTAATTCTCAACATTACCTTGGAAAATAACCCTATTTGTGATGTATTCATATACTGTGTTCACAGTGCAAAAAGTCCTGTTTCTCTCCATCTCACCCTCTGCACTCTCCACTCCCTCCTTTGTTCATTGCTTCTGTTCCATTACCTCACCTGAACTTGATTTCCAGGTGAGCAACTGTCTTCAGAGTAGATGTCAGTGCACTAGATTTATAGATAAGCCGGTGGTGAGCTGTGAGAATCATGTTCTTTCCCACCCTTCCAAACTGTGGCTCTGTCTGCCTAAGAAGGCTTTTTCTGGCATAGTTATGTTGGTTATGGGTGTGTTTTGTACTGACATTGCTATGCCAGCAAAAACACTTAGTATAAATGCAGTTGTACTGGCAAAGCTGTGCTTTTTGGCTGGTATAGTTGCATTCCCTTGGAAGCATTTTGCTTATAAAGGTATGTATATATGGTCTTCTAATGGGAACATAGCTTGAATATTCAAAACCTTTCAACATCCATATCTGCTGAGCCTTGGCTTCAGTTTCAGTATCTGAACTGCATTGTTGGTAGCATAGAAATAATTGATTAAAGGACAATATGGACGAACCGACAGCCCCTAAACCTTTTTTTAAAAACATGTCTGTCTCTCCTAATATGATCCCACCCAAATATTCTTGGTGTCATTAGTGCACTCTGCTTTTGTAAATCAGATTACTGATCTGGTTTGGTTATATCCCTTCTTTAAAAAAAAAAAAAAAAGGCAAAGATGAAAGGTGCAGAATTCCATCCACAATTGTTGACAGCAAAGCATGTTACAGAAAGTAATCCATGTCACCTTTGAACACCTGCTGAAATATTACATGTGGACATGTGGAAAGTATTCTCTGTGTTTTTAACCTTTTTAGTTTGCATACTTATAGTCGCACATTATCATCGTTTTTGGCAATGACAAAAACTGCTATCAGGGTTGAAAACACCAAGGTTTATGACCCCCTTTCTTTCTCTTATACATTTCCCATCTTAGCTCATGGGAACCTTCCATCTAAGTTTGGCAGCTGATGGATTAAGCCCCATTTAAAGAATTTGCCTGGGGAGCTGACACTTCATGTGTCTTGAGGCAATTTTTTTTTTTAATTATTTTTAGCTAAAATAAATCTTGAGACAAATCTTGTCAATCACTTATGAGTTATGGAAAGGTGAAAAAATTATTTTTTAAAATTGCAAATAACTTCTGAATGTGTTTATTATAACTCAGATAAAAACATAGGAATTTTGAAATGTGCATACTGCTAATGAGCATGTAGAGAAAAATGTGGTCTATAAAGAAGGGAACTTATGGGCTAAGTACAGACCAGGGTGAGGGCGGGGGGAAGAGGAAGGGGAGAGCCCAGCCTGTTTCAGCGGCTCTGACAGCCCAGCCCAGCCTGGGCATGGGGAGCTGGAAGCAAACTGGGTACATAGGTCCTGTGGCCCCAGCCCAAACCACAGCTGGCTGTGAAGGGCCCTGCCCCCACAGCCTGACCCAGTCCCTCTGTGCCTGCTCTCAGCAGCACCCACAGGCCAGCCCAGCTTAGCCCCGGCTGAGGCGGGTGGATGGCAGGACCATGCCAGCCAGTGGCAAAGGTGGCGGGGGGCACTCTGACAGCGGCAGCAGCCCCTGTCACAGTGTCCTGGGGAGTGCAAGCCTCTTTCCAGTGTGGGGGCTGCATTGCAGGCTGGAGTGGGACAGGCACAGGCTGCCGCAGCTGCCTTGCACAGGTCAAGTGATGGCCATGCTGGAAAGGTGGCTACAGGGGCTAAGGCAAATTTTGGGGTGGCCATAGCTCCCCCAACCCTCCCGTAGTGCCACTGCTGAAGCGCAGCCCTCCCACTGGGAAGAGGCTTTCAGTCCCTGGGACACCATGACAGGGGTTGCTGCCTATGTCAGGGTCTCCCCCCCCACTCAATCCTTTGCAGGTCCAGCAGCAGGGACGGGGCATGGCCAGATGCCAGCCAGCATGGCCCCCTGAGGCAAAGAGGGCAGAGAGGGGGTTTATTTCTCCCCCTCACTCCCCTTTCCCCCCAGGGAACCCCAGCCGGGGTCTGCCTGGCCGGGGTGCAGCAGCCCCTGCGCAGGGGAGAGCAGGAGAGGCGGTGGCCAGGGCTGGCAGACCCCGGCTGCTGTCCCCCGGTGGGAGAGGGGAGGGAGGCAGGAATAAAATCCCTCCCTGCCCCCTTTGCTTCAGGCGGCCATGCCGGCCTGGCGTCTCACCATGCCCACTTCCCTGTCACTGGACTGGCAGGGGGGGGGGGGGTCCCCCCCCCCCTCCCCGCCGCAGACCAGCATCTGGCCATACCCCCTACTGCTTGAGCAATGAGGGTGCAGGGGAGAAATGCCTGGGAGAGGCTGCTCTGCCCCGGCCAAGCAGGCCTTGGCTGTGGTCCCCCCCAGTGGAAGAGGGGAAGGAGGGGCAAATGAACCCCCTCCCTGCCCCCTCCGCCTCAGGGGGCCATGCTGGGCCAGTGTTTGGCTACACCTCCACCTTTGCTCTGGCCTACAGCATAGCCTAGCCCTTGGGTGCAAAGCGTGCTGGGATGTTGGGGGACTCTTGATTTAACTTGAACCAGGAAAGGTTGTGGGAGAGAAGTTCCATAAACTGGTTTGACCTCAGTCAGTTAAGTCTAATACTACATTCAGCCAGGTTTATCTTAAACCAGTTTCGGCCATTTTGAAACTGACTTCCGTCCATTGAACTGTTCTGTTACAGGTTTAAACCAGTGTCTGATCACTTAAACCAGTTTGTGTGTAATTTCCGTCCCTTGCCATTATGTAAATTGAAATATAGTTTATTCCAAATATAATACAATACATTTAGGTCAGAAGAATCCGGATCCTAGATGCATCTTGAAAAACTCCAGTGAAATGTTCAGATTTCTCTGTGAACATATGAGGTTAGAATACTCTGTAGGAGGGAGTTGAGGAACTCCCCGTCCTTCCCCAGCTGCCCTCACCCCCCCCACCCAAAAAATACCCCCAAAGAAACTTACCATATATGTTCACATACCATAAATATCTTTCCTGCAAAAAATCAGAACTGCAAAGTGGGGCTGTGTGTCTAAGTGGGGAAGGTGATTTTTCTTTTCTGGAATAGAAGCAAACCTGGAGACACTCTGCATGCCATGCAGCTGCCAAGATCTCATCTGCTTGTATCTGGTTTAGCAAGCTCAAATGATGGAGTCCTATGTTGACCCTCTTATAACATAGCAATTAGCTGAGCACTGTAACTTTTGCCTGAAGCAGCAAAGTATGCTGTTGGTGGTATCTTGATGAGGCTTGTGGTATGGAAACAGGGCTTTCTTTACAAGAATTTGAATAAAGAACTACTTGGAATAAAGAAGTAATACTTTTTGTACAGCCCTTAAGAATCTGGGGCTTACCCTTGTGTGATACAGAGTAAGTCTTTCTGGAAACACAGAATGTCCAGGAACGTGGCATCCCTGGGGACAGTCTAGGTGAGGCAGCCATACCAGGAAGTTCCTGCTGCCTCTCCCAGACTGTCTCCTGGGCTACCGCACTTCCTGGACACTTGGTGTTTCCAGGAGTTCTTACGCTATGTCACATAGTTTTGGAAACATCTTTTTTTCTGCATTCAATCTTCAAAAACAAAGGTGTGTGTTTTATTTGCTGGGGGGGACATGTGGTATGCCAGAGAATATGGTAATTTAGGTTCAGTGGTTTGGGATAGGGGATGTCATTTATGATGTTCTTTCCCTTATTGATAAGAAAAGACCCTTCTTTATCTTATGAGAGCAACAGCCCTTTCCCAAAGCACCTACATAACAAAATTATTAATGCCAATGGGAATTCATCTGTAACCCTGTTAGATCTCCATTTATTATATTTTACTGGGCCTTCTGGGGATTACCATTGCCATGATCCTTTAGCAGATTTTCATAGCTCCAGGAAAGGGAGGCTAGCAGGTTCTCTGATGGCATCTCTCTCTATCTAGGCTCCAGATACCAAAGACTGGAAGTAACAGAAAAATTAACTCTAATGACAATGAAAAATGTTGATTCCACCCCCGCCCCCACCTGCGAACCCAGGTTCTTCAGTAGTTGCAGGAGTGCAGGAGAAGTTGAGTTGAACAAAAGGCACAAGGGCATTTTCAGGCACAAAGCATATTCTTTGGCTTTGTCCCATCTCTGGCTGGCAGATGATCAGGTCTTGTTTGCCAAGTATAATTTTCTACTGTAAGACAGGGTGACTCCCTTTCCTGTATATGTACCATAGGACATTGGGGAAGAGCTAAGGGAGGTCATCAAAGAAAGCTTGGTGGCTGCCAGAGCAGCCCCACAGACAATCGTAGGCCTCTGAGAGAGTCACAAGGTTGAAGTTCAAGATATCATACAGGCTGCCAGCCAAAGGAATAGAGAGGTCTGTCAGTATGAAGAGTTTGATGACTCATTCCATTTTGTAAGACTCAAGGGATACCAACTGTTTCCAAAATCTAGAGGTGTTAAAACTTCCCAGTGAAATGGCAGCAAGAATTGTGAGAGATGGCAAAACAATGCATTTTTCCTTTATTTAATTCTTGGAAAATGCTGAGCCCATTTTAGTAAAACATTAAAAATTAACTCCAGAGGGTAGAGCTAGGATCCAGAGTGACCTAAATAGACTGGAGAAATGGTTCGCAATAAATGAGATGAGATTCAACAAAGGTAAGGGCAAAGTCCTGTACTCAGGATGGAATAACTGCACCCACAAATACAGACTGAGGAATGACTGGCTAGGTTACAGTACTTCAGAGAAGGACCTGGGGCTTATGGTGAACCACAAACAGAGTAGGAGACAACAGCATCCTGGGCTGTATTAACAGGAGTGTCACTTGCAAATCAAGGGAAGTGATTCTTCTGCTCTATTTGGCATTTGTAAGACCTCACCTGAAGTACTGTGTCCAGTTTTAGGCCCCACATTTCAAGAAAAATGTGGACAGTTTGGAAAGAGTCGAGCACACAGCAACAAAAATTATCTGAGGCCTGGGACACAAGATTTATGAGGAATGCTGAAAGAACTAGGGTTACTTAGTCTGGAGAAGAGAAGAGTGAGGGGGGACTTGATAACATTCTTCAAATACCTGAAGGACGATTATAGAGAGGATGGAGATGAGCTTTTCACTGTGGCTGCAGGGAACAGGACTGGGAGCAATGGCTTTAAGCAGCAGCATGGAAAATTTAGGTTGGATATGAAGGGGAATTTTTTTACTCTATGAGAGTGGTCAAGCATTGGAATGGTTTACTTAGAAAAGTAATGGAATCTCCACCTTTGGAAATTTTCAATAGCAGGTTAGCTGTTTTAATTGGGGATGATTCTGCCTTGAACAGGGGGCTGGGCTAGATGACCTTCCAGCCCTACTTTCCTATGATCCTACAGAACTGAGGCTAACTTCTAGCATGGAAGTTGTCAATTCATATGGTTCAAAATTGGGGAAATTATAAACAGCTGAAAAGAAAAGGTGAGAGTCTTCCTTAATTTAGGGCACAGCCAGTCATCTGTCTAGCTTTTCCCAAAAAAGGAGGTAAATGATTTATTTTATTGTCCCATCCAGCTTATATTGACAGCTTTGTAAATACCACAGTAGATATCACTGGACATTAGGTTAGTCCTATAGTCATTTATTTTGCAAAGGCTTTTTGGAAGTAATTGGTTTTAAGAAGTAGTTTAAGGAAGAAGTTGATCAGGAGAAAGGAAAGCTATTTCTCAATTTGGAGAATCTGCCTTGCCAAGTTTGGAGGAAAATTATTTGAACATAAGTTACAGAAATGCTAAAAAGGATAATTACAACAGAAATGTTGCCAGCTGTACATTTTCCTTCATTCTACGCTGATAACCGATGTCCCTCGGAGAATGGCAGATTACAAGGGTTAACATATTTATACACATTCTTCCCCACTAGATGTTCAAAGCTCTATGCATATTTTGGAGTTACTGTATCTGCACCTACCTGCATACAAAAACGCCCACATTTCTTTTCAAAGAGAATATATTATTTATGTGCTTCGACACATGCCCGTTCTTATTTATACTTCTTATTATACTTTTCTTGCTTACAATAATTTCACTTCTTCTCTTTTTTCCCCTTTTAATTTAGCTTTTTACCTGTCCAATTTTTTTTTAAACACTTCGATCACATTTTAGATGCAAAGAGCCATTTTAGTGCCAGACTAAAGTGGCAACCAAATTTCACACTAAATGTTCACACAGCCATAAATTTGACCCCCTGTTGGTTATACAAAAAAATATTGAACTTGGAAGACAGTATGTAATAGAACAATTAAATATACTGTAATGCACATATAAAATAAAACAGTTAAAACTGAACACGTATTTGTTACCTCAATCTATCCTGATTTTTGTGTTCTAACTATAGAAAATTAATATTTAATATTTAATCGAAATATTTTGCTTTAATTATATCAAATGGCAAGTTTCAATGTATTTCCTTTTAAAAGAACAAACTTAGTCTTTTCATAACCAGGTGGATAAGGCCTTGTTTTAAGGAAGTATATGAAATGGAGAGGAAATCCGTTCCATTTCCTTTGTATACACTCTATGTATAAAAAACAGCCATGTGTTAGGGACAGTTTGGCAACTTTTCAGCAGGCAACAGTTGTAAAGCAACCCTTTAGGTGTTATAATTTATGTCAATCTGAACATGCATTATAGAAAATCCTCTAGCTTTTTTTGCAATAATGTAAATGCTCTTCTTTCATCTTCTATTCATTCCTCAGCTCTGATTTTCACCTGCTAAGTCTGTCCAATTTTGCTAATTAAGGAGAGCAAACCAAAAGAATCAGAGAATTAATGAATCTCTTCCCCTTATTTGTTAAAACTCATTTGGCACATTGCAGCTGCCCTTACAAGGCCTTTACTCACAGAAATTCATCCTAAAGTTTGGGACACATTTATTAACTGTTTACTGAATCATTCAGTCATCAAAACCAATGGAAATACAGTTTTGCTCAAATGGTTCTTTTTTATCAGTGGTATAGGCTATCTAGAAATGTAGAGAAGGTTTACTAAAATGAAAGGGAGTAGGAATCCCTTCACAAGGAGAGAACTCCATTTTGCTACTCATGAAATATGTCATAGATTTCATAGACATTAGGGCTGGAAGGGACCTCGGAAGATCATCGAGTCCAGCCCCCTGCCCAAAGGGCAGGAAGTCAGCTGGGGTCATAGGATCCCAGCAAGATAAGCATCCAGTTTGCTCTTGAAGGTGTTCAATGTAGGTGCTTGAACCACCTCCGGTGGCAGGCTGTTTCAGACCTTGGGGGCTCAGACAGTAAAGAAATTTATCCTTATGTCCAGCCTGAAACGGTCTTGTAGTAGTTTATGACCATTCGACCTAGTCGTCATCCCTTGGGGCGCTCTGGTGAATAAACGTTCCCCCAGATACTGGTGGTCACCCCTGATCAACTTATAGGTGGCCATCAGATCACCCCTGAGCCTGCGCTTTTCCAGGCTAAAGAGCCCCATGGGTCTCAGCCTGTCATCGTAGGGTCTGCTTCCCTGACCTCTGATCATGCGCGTGGCTCTTCTCTGGACTCTCTCAAGCTTCTCCACATCCTTTTTGAATTGTGGAGCCCAAAACTGGACGCAGTACTCCAGCTGCGGCCTCACTAAGGCCGAGTACATCCTCCAAATTCAAACCATAACTCTAGCACTCCAGAGTTTGGCGTGAAACCCATGTATTAGCTGGAATCCTTTGCCCATTTCAGAGTGAAGCTTTCATTTCTGATGAAATGTAGCCAAATAAAATTTATGGCCTAAAATAGTTGAACAGTAAAAATGCAGTTCAAACTACGATGACTGAAAGGCAGCATTTTATATCTGTGCAACAATAACAACTGATTTGTATGCATTCTTATGTTGTAAAAAGGTAATTAACTTTTACATACCAGTTCTACAACTCCCTTTCTTCAATGAAGCATCATTGTAGTCTTATCCTTTTTCTTAGTTCTACGTTCAGGGAAACTAGCAATATGAAAAATGCCACTTAAGAAATAAGCTGATCTTTGACTGAGGAAGGGAGTAAGATATTCAAACTATTACATTTTTCACTAGCAAACCTTATAAATGTTGAAATACATTTTGTCAAAAGATCTTATATATTTGCTCAGATTAATGCCCAAAGGAGTTATTTTCAAGTTGTATGTTTAAAACTCTGAAAATAGAGATTTCTGCAGTACACGCCTATTGAAAAAAATACCTTATTACATCTATTTTTAACAAGTCTCTTCAATTGTTTTTAAAAAATAATTTCTGTGCATTTAATTTGTTAGAAGGAAAATACATTGATATTACTACTGTCCTAAGAGATACACATGCCTTTTGAACTTTTGTTTTACTGTAACAAAAAGATGAACAATGTTGACAAGTTTAGCCTTGCTGCAAGTTTTTTTAGTTAATTAACGCAGTTCTTCCCAGTGACAGTGCTCAGGTACTTTACAGGCATATGAATGGATTGTTGCGATTTATTTTAATCCTTGTCAGTGGGAGATGCTGTGTGCTAGGCACTTATGAAAATCTGGTCACTTCATTTAGGTGTCCAAATGGGAGTTTTCTCTTGAAAATCTAATTATATTGGGAATGTATCAGGGCACAGACTGTATACTTATATATTTGTATTTTACCAAATGTAATTGGCCTCTCGTATTGAAGAGGATGTGTGGGTGATACCACTATATAGAATACTAATTATTTTGTCACAACCATCCCCTGCCTCAGTGCCCTTATAGACTTGATACACTTTGTCATATTGCTTGTTGTGAATGCTGCAAATTAATATTTTTTAGCTTTAATAATCACCACTGAAAGCCATTGCTTAACTCTTCTCCCTCATCTTTTTCTCTCTAAATTGTTAAAAGACATTACTTTCCTAATTTTTCAGCCTGAATCAGGTCAGCCTGTGACCCTGTCTGCTATAGACATTACACAGAGAGATCACTTTTGCTATAGGCCTCATTATTTTTTGTTCCTTTCTCCACAGACTGGTGAATTTTCAGCTCGCTTTCTTTTGAAGTTGCCAGTGGATTTCAGCAATATTCCTACATACCTTCTCAAGGTAAAAATAAATTAATATATTGACAATGCTCACTCTGTGGGAAAGTGTGAATTATTGAAATGTTCCTAGTAAAAATTACATTTTGAATTTCAGCAGACAAATTTCCGCAGGAGACTGTAAGTCAGTAGTTTCAAAATTTGATATTGTTGTACTTTGGAAAAGAATTACTTGTCCTTGCAAATGTGTAATAATCATAATCATAATAAAAATAAAAGCTACTTCCTTCAAAAGAAATAAACACTGATCAGTTTTACATTAGTGTCCAAAAACCCACCAATATGAATTGACTAAAAACCAACACAATGATTAGATTCCCCTATCTTAGTTTACTTCTCTGCCTCTCATCTTGTTTTCTTCCCATCTACCCTCCTGTTTTCAGAGGTTCTCCCCTCCCCCTGTTCACATCCTTTTTAAACAGAATCTACCTCTTCATTTAGCCTAACAGATGTGAACTCACTTCAGTAATTTGCATTCACCATCTCATTTTTAAAAATAGGTGCATACTTGTGTGCGCACCCCCTCCCCCCCACATATGTGTATGTATTGAGAGACAGACAGACTGACTGACGTTCTAAATTATTATCAGTACCCTCCAGGTATGTGGGTTTGCTCCCCTTCCTCCTTCCAACCTGATTTGTTTCAAATTGTAAATTTCTCTAGGCAGGGATTGTATCTTCATTTAGTGGTATGTCTTCTACAGGAAAAAAACACCCAGAACAGTGTTTCCTTACATTAGCTATCTGTGCAGTAACTATCAGGGTGCTGCACTTGAGCAGTAGTAACCAGCAGCACACTTATAAGATGGGAAACTCCCTTCTTGAGAGCACAGAGGCAGAAAGGGATCTTGGAGTCATTATTGACTCCAAGATGAACACGGGCTCACAATGCAAGGTCACAGTCGACAGGGCTAACCGGACAGTATCGTGTATCCACAGGTGCATCTCAGGTAGGTCCAAGGAGGGGATCCTCCCCCTCTACGCGACACTGGTCAGGCTGCAGCTGGAGTACTGTGTCCAGTTCTGGGCACCCCACTTCAAGAGGGATGTGGACAACATTGAGAGAGTCCAGAGGAGGGCCACCCGCATGATCCGGGGACAGCGGGGCAGACCCTACAACGAGAGGCTACGGGACCTGACCCTGTTCAGCCTTCACAAGAGAAGGCTGAGGGGGGACCTTGTGACCGTCTATAAACTCACTAGGGGGGACCAGAAGGGTTTGGGGGAGACCTTGTTTCCCTTAGCACCACCCGGGATAACAAGGAATAACGGCCACAAGTTGTTGGAGAGTAGGTTTAGATTAGACATCTGTAGGAACTACTTCACAGTTAGGGCGGCTAGGATCTGGAACCGACTTCCAAGGGAAGTGGTGCTGGCTCCTACCCTGGGGGCCTTTAAGAAGCAGCTTGATGCCTACCTGGCTGGGGGCATTTGAGCCCAGTTTTTTCTTCCTGCCCAGGCAGGGGGTCGGACCTGAAGATCTACAAGGTCCCTTCCGACCCTACTTCTATGATTCTATCAGGAGGTAAAGTGCTAGTGAATAAAATGAAGTTTTACTTAATCTTGTTTTACTGTAGTTTTAGAAAGATTTCCCAAGAATCTGTCTTCCTTCTTATTTAAAACTGTAGGTAATTTTGATGCAGGGATAGTGGGATGTGGTCACGATCAATAATGCAAAGCACCAGTGAGTCTAAATAAAACACTTACACTGGTGCAGATGTCAGAATGAAAGGATGGATATTTTTGCCTAATAAGCAGTGGTTTGCAGTCATTGTGCATTTTGTCATCCCTGTTCTTTGTGGTTTGTGCCAATGAAAGGTGTGTTGTTTGCACATGTTGCATTCTGTAAATGAATTTTCTTTGTAAGGTACAACATTTAAATAATAGTGCAGGGCCTTGAAAATGTAGACACCATTTTCAGCGATTTTCATGTGATAAGTTGAGAAAACAAACACGCTACTTTTCTAGAGTCAAGCATGTGCTTCATTAAACCCTCACTCAGTTTGCAGTCAATTACCTCTTTGTTATGCACCCCTGGGTTATACAACCCAAGGAGGGGCAGTGTCCAACATACTGCGGGACCTCACCTCATTATAGAACATACATATTGTGAAGTAAAATGAAGAATTTGAAAAATGAGTATGAAGAACAGTTAATTTAGACCTAGTAATTATTTTTCTGCTCCAGACAGCAAGAAATTATCTTGGCAACCCTGTGACATGTGCATGCTTGTTCCACTCAAGTGTCTCAATTACATGTCTATTTAAAATAATTTGAATACATATTTAGGAATATTAATAGGGCTATTTAAGCAGTTAAATGTTAGTTGGCATAAATACTGTCTATCTAGGTAAAAGTTTCCCCATCCCCCATGCTGTTTTCATATGTTTCCATAGCCCATAATGAGGACTAGTATCTTAGTCCTGAAGTGTTATATAGTATGTTCTGCCAAAAGATGAGCATATTTACCTGTCTTCGTCAGGGAAGCCAGTAGGATTTCTGTTGCAGTGAGATCTATCTGGGAGCTAAGCCTTTGGATCTGGCTACCATAGATGCCTTAATATGCATCAGTTTAGCAGGCCAAAATCTTTATGTGGTCTAAGGGATCATAGTAGGGAACAAAGTCACAGACTCTGAGATATTTTTGAAGGAATTAATGTGAGCTTTCAGGGTTTCATGTGGTAATCACTTCATGTCATTAAAATTAAATAATAACAGAAGCAGACAAGAAAATTAAGGGATATGGTGGAGATCCCCAAAAAGTGTCATTTTCCTATAATAAATGGACCTTTGAAGTGTTCTGTAAGTAGTACTGTTGTTGTGTCTTAGTAAATCTCATGTGTGGCAAGATTGTACACTCCTTGGTGACATTCATTGTACAGACAACATTAGAGGCAGTTGTTTTTACTTGACATTTGAAAGTAACTGGAGAGTAAACGGCACAGCAGCAGAATGACAGAAAGATGCTATGTAAGAAGTTGCCGAGAAAAAGCTTCTTGGATTAGAGGGAATACTGTACAGATTGAGGGAAGATTAATATTTAGTTAAGTAGAGTAGTGATGGACATGATTCCCAAAGGTGGCATATAGCAAGCCTATGGGGGGGGGGGGGGGGGGGTGTAGATGACTGTAGGGGGGGGGGGGGGGGCGTTTACAATGAGAGTACTTTTGCCCTAGAGTACAAAATAAATAAGAAGCCTAGGAGATATTGGAAGAAAGACTGTATTGATGCTAGTAGCAAGAATATATTTATATTTATCAAATCAAATTATGGTTTCTTGTGTGACATTCTTGAGTTATTTCAACATTGGAAGTATTTATTGTTCTCTTGAAAAATCCTAATTTCTGCCTTGCAGAAACCTTGTATGTTTTTATGTGCCTGTGTTACATTCTTATTTGAGCTGCTTTAAATAAATGTATTGTTATTTTGGTGAAACCATTCACCTTCAAACAGGTTTGTGGTCTCATTCATGTTCACTGCATGTTTGTACTCTGTACTTTGTCAGTTAAAGATCTGCTACTCCCTTGTGTTTCCCTCGTTTGCAGAACTGCTTAGGATGTGAATCATCTTGCTTAGCTCTTAAAGCATTTTTTACAGGAGAACATGAATAGGGGTTAGTTTGTTCTACAACAGATCTAGATCTTGACTGACATATAATATTTCTAAACAGGTATCTGTTATGCTGCTCTTCCGTATTAGACCTAGATGTTGTCCCATGCTGCAGTTATCTGGTACAAGGGCAGAGTTTAAAAGTAGTGTCTTACCACTCCTAACAACTTGCAGGGCAAGAGCTCTCCCTGGAATATGACCATGTGCTCAGAGTTGTAGACCATGTGCTGTAACTGAAAGGACATGTGTTCTTTGATTGTGTCAGTATGGTTCCCACTCCAGGTGTACATATGCTTTATTATACACAGGTCAGATATTTTGAATAGCCGTGGGCACTTCTACATGTGTGCTTTAATGTGCAGTAGCCTATGTTACTGTGCGTTAAAACATCACATAAAAAATGTGCTATTACACTAATGCAGAGTAAAATAGGCTACTGCGCATTAAGCATCACTTAAAAAACATGCCCATTCATTACTTTAATTAAGGTAGTTTCATGCACATTTTTTCAGTACCTCACATTGGAGGTACTAAATTTAATGTGCGTTAGGAAAAGTGTCTTAATGCATGTGTCGATGCATCCAGTATCTATGAAGGCTACACTTGTGCCCTTCACAGATACTGGGGTTTTCTGCCTTGTGCAAGGCCATAAATGGCAGAATGACTCTAACCCACCCTCAGTTGCCTCTTTTCACTATTGGAAGCAAGACAGAGCTCATTCCTCATTTTGGAGATTTCAAGTCAGGTCTTTTCACCTACTTGATGAAGACAATTTGCTTTCAAAGTCTGTAAGATAAGGATTCTCTTTTTTTTTTTTTAAAGGAAGCAATTCCCCCTTAGGCTAAATTGCAATGTAAAAGAAACTGAAATTTATCTGAGGGAACCCTAACGCAAGGATCCTAAGTTATGCATATCTGTGTAGCAGGCACATTAACCAGTCACATGGCTAGAGAGACTAAGTCACCTGAGGCAGCAAGTTAGCTAGACGAGTTCACCAATAGGGGAGGGCAGGGATGCAGGGTTTTTTTCCTACTGTTACAAGTGCCCCAGAGAAAAGAATCTGTGATGGGTGGAAAATGGCAAGCTGCTAACACTGCCACTAGCTCTTTTACATACACTTGCAGTGTTCTAGCCCTGACAAGAATCCTGGCTTACAAGTTCCTAACCAGAGACTTGTCTGGTGAGAGTGTGGCCTGCATGTCTCTGCTGAAAGTCAAAAATAGGGTACCACATGGTATGACAGGTTTTACTGTTGGAGTTACACAGGAAACAGGCAAGTGATCTGCAGGATGAAGTCTCTCAACATATGAGAATGGATTTTTTTTTTTTATGTATCCTGTTGATAAACTTGGCTCATTCAATCTTGGACTGGCACAGCACTGCAGGAGAAGGCAG